AGATGTAATAGAATGGATTCCTTTTAATAAGTTAGATAATATTCAAAGAAATGGTGATGGATTTTTGGCAACCTGGTTAGATGGAATACGATATGCAAATTATAACCATGAGTCCAATGAATATTCATTCTCACGCATATCATCATATAAAGTGGAGCTTAAAACATTAACTAATTCACAAAATTTACTAAATATGTTAAGAGAAGTAAGATATTAAATCATTATTATACTGTATCATTACATATAACTTTATTTTAATTCATATTTATACATCTATAAATATTTATAAGTTTATAGAATACATACAGTTAAGTTATGACAATTTTAAAGTATATGGACTAACTCAAAACACCGCAACAAATGAATATATGTTAGTTTTCGATGAGTTTGGTTATATAAGAAATAAATATAAGGGAAAATGTGCAAATTGCAACCGATATAATACATCAGAAGCTTGGTGTCGAACATGTGACCCTCAGAAGACAATACAAGGATGGACAAGTGGAAATAAGAATGTCGATGATTGCATTAAAGAATTTCAAATTAAAGCTACAAATTATGAAAATGTAATTGAGTGGATTCCTTTTAATAGATTAGACAACATTCAGAAGGTTGGAGATGAATTTTCAGCAATCTGGATAGATGGTATACGAACAGTTTCACGTGCATATAATGATAAGGGAAATTTACAGGAGTGCTCACAATCACGTATGCCATCATGCAGAATTGAGCTTAAAATATTACATTCTTTAAATTTTTTAAAAGAAGTAAGTTTGTTATTTATTGAATCCGTTTTTATTTAACTTAAAAATGTATTCATATTCAATTTAATATAAGTTTAAAGATCTCATGCAATTAATGCAATTGGAGAATAATAAATTTAAAGTATATGGAATAATTCAACACACTACAAAAGATGAGTACATGTTGGTATTTGATGAATTTGGATCCGAAAGAGTGTATTGGAAAGGAAAATGTGCAAATTGCAACCGATACAACACATCGGCAGCTTGGTGTCAGACGTGTGACCCTCAGAAAACGACACAAAAATGGTTAAGCGGAGTTAAGGATATCGATGATTGCATTAAAGAATTTCAACTTAAAGCTACAAACTACAAAGACGTAATCGAATGGATTCCTTTTAATAGAATAGACAATGTTCAAAGGATTGGTGATAAGTTTTCAGCAACATGGTTAGATGGAAAACGTTGTGTGGATGGAGATGGACTGAAAAAGGAATATGCACAGTCACGTACATCATCATATAAAGTGGAGCTTAAAATATTGGCTAGTTCAAATGATTTATTAAATATTTTAAAAGAGGTAAGATGCTATTATATGATTTTATTATACGTAGATTATTTAATTGGTAAAGTTATATACTTAACTTCTATTATATACTTATTATAAATGTTTTATAGTTTAAAAATCATTTGCTATTAGAAAGTAAAAGCGTCCTTGGATTAACTCAAAACACAACCACAAATGAATATATGTTGGTATTTGATGAATTCGGCTCTAAAAGATCTAAGCATAATGGAAAATGTGAAAATTGCAAACGATATAACACTTCAAAAGCTTGGTGTCAAACATGTGACCCTCAGAAAATAACACAAGGATGGGCAAGTGGAAATAAAGACGTCGATAATTGCATTAAAGAATTTCAACTTAAAGCCACAGAATATGAAAAAGTGATTGAGTGGATTCCCTTTAACCGATTAAATAATGTTCAAAAGATTAGTGATAGATATTTAGCAACGTGGTTAGATGGAATTCGATGTATTGAAAATGGATATGATGGATATATACAATCACGTATGCCATCATATAACGTGGAGCTTAAAACATTGACTAGTTCGCAAAATTTATTAAATATTTTAAAAGAAGTAAGATTATTTTATTATACGTAGATTATTTAATATTAAAGTTATATACTTAACACTATCATATATATATTGTATATTTTATAAGTTTAAAAATCATTTGCAATTAGAAAGTGGAAATGTCCTTGGATTAACTCAGAACACAACCACAAATGAATATATGTTGGTATTTAATGAATATAGATCTCAAATGTATGGAAAATGTGCAAATTGCAATCGATATAACACATTGCCAGCTTGGTGTCGAACATGTGACCCTCAGAAGACAGCACAAGGATGGGCAAGTGGAGAAAAGGATGTCGATGATTGTATCAAAGAGCTTCAACTTAAAGCTACAGAGTATGAAGACGTAATAGAATGGATTCCTTTTAATAAATTAGATAATATTCAAAAGATTGGTGACGGATTTTTAGCAACGTGGTTAGATGGAATACGAAGTACTAAAGTTGAAGATGGTGGATGTACGCAGTCACGTATGCCGTCATATAAAGTGGAGCTTAAAACGTTGACTAGACCACCAAATTTAATAGATATGCTAAAAGAAGTAAGTTAAAAGATTTAATATTATTATAGTGCTACTGTCTATTAACTCAAATTCATATTTACAAATATTTAAAATATTTAATAAGTTTATAGATTATGTACTGTTAAAGGATGGTAAATTTAAAGTATATGGACTAACTCATGACACAGTAAAAAATGAGTTTATGTTAGTATTTGATGAATTTGGTTCTAAAAGACGTCGGGGAAATGGAAAATGTACAAATTGTAACCGATATAACACATCACCAGCCTGGTGTCAAACATGTGATCTTCGGAAAATAACGCAAGGATGGACAAGTGGAAATAAGGATGTCGATGATTGTATTAAAGAATTTCAACTTAAAGCCACAAACTATGAAGGTATAATCGAATGGATTCCTTTTAATAAATTAGATAATATTCAAAAAACCGATATAGGAAATTCAGCGACTTGGTTAGATGGTAAACGATATGTAGGAAATAGATATAAATATATACGGTCACGTACATCACCATGTAAAGTTGAGCTTAAAATATTACCTGGTTCTCAAAATACATTGGATTTTTCAAAAAGAGTAAGTTAAAATTGGTTTGTTAATACATATTTGTTTTATTAACACATACATTTTTATAATTATAAGTTTAAAGATTTCATGCAATCAAAAGATTACAAGCTTAATGTATATGGACTAACTAACGACACTGCAACAAACAAGTATGCAATAGTTTTTGCCATTAAAAGATATAGAAAATGCACAAACTGCGACCTATATAACACATCGCCAGCTTGGTGCCAAACATGTGATCCCCAGAAAACAACACAAGGATGGACGAGTGGAAATAAAAATGTCGATGATTGCATTAAAGAATTTCAACTTAAAGCCACAAATTACAGAGACGTAATCGAATGGATTCCTTTTAATAAATTAAATAACATTCAAAAAATCGGTGATAGATTTTTAGCAACCTGGTTAGATGGAGTACGAAGTATTAAATTTGAAGATAGTGAATATATACAGTCACGTATATCATCATATAAAGTGGAGCTTAAAATGTTACAAGGAACTAAAAATTTATTAGATGATTTGAGCGGGGTAGGTTAAAAATGTGTTATATGATTCACTGCAAATATTTTTCATTTCTATCTATTTAAAAGGTTAAAATCTCATACAATCAAAGGATGATGAATTTAAAGTATATGGGCTAACTCAAGACACTACAACAAATGAGTACATATTAGTTTTTAATTTTATAAGATCTAAACGGAATGGAAAATGTGCAAATTGCAATCGATATAATACTTCTAAAGCTTGGTGTCGAACATGTGACCCTCAGAAAACAACACAAGGATGGACAAGTGGAAATAAAGATGTCGATAATTGCATTAAAGAATCTCAACTTAAAGCCACAAAATATGAAGATGTAATCGAGTGGATTCCTTTTAATAGATTAGATAACGTTCAAAAAATTGGTGAAGGAGGATTTGGCTCTGTGTTTTCAGCAACGTGGTTAGATGGTAAAAGAATAGCTTCATATGAATTTGGTAAATACACACGATCACGTACACCATCATGTATAGTTGCACTTAAGACATTGCCAGGTTCACAAAAGAATTTTTTAAGAGAAGTAAGTTAAAATGGTTTATTTATTATGACCTAATAAAGACAAATTTTTAACATTGCAAATTTATTTAACTACTTAGTTTAAAAGTTATACAGAAGTTAGATTAATGGGTAGTAATCTTGAAGTTTATGGGCTAACTCAAAATACGATTAATGATGAATATTTGATGGTGTTCCAATATGCAAATAAAGGAAGTCTTCATAAATTCCTCTCATCAAATTTTAGAGATCTTAATTGGAAAAGTAAATTAAAGCAACTTGTAGATATATCAAAAAATTTAATGAAAGTTCACAAAGCAGGATATTTTCATGGAGATTTTCATAGCGGTAATATATTGCAAAATCAATATATTAATGGAGGTTTAATATCTTATATTGCAGATCTTGGATTATCTAGAAAGAAAGATGAATCTGAGTTAGAAGATAAAATATATGGAGTTTTACCTTATGTTGCTCCTGAAGTGTTACTTAAACGACCATATACAATAGCAGCAGATATTTATAGTTTTGGTATTATTATGGCAGAAATATCTACAGGAAGACCACCTCATTACGATATTGAGTATGATGAAGCGTTGGCTATTGAAATATGTAAAGGGTTACGTCCTGAAATTGCTAAAGGCACCCCTGAATGCTATACTAAATTAGCAAATCAATGTATGGATGCAAATCCTTCAAATAGACCATCTGCTTTTTATATCCACATTGAATTATTTAGATGGTATATTATGGTAAATAATGGTGCAGCAAAAGATAAAAATGAATTGGAAATATTAAAAGCGTTCAAATCTGCAGATGCAATTATTCCAACATTATCAACCAACTTGCCAATTTGTCCCAAAGATAAACTTACAAGTAAACTGCTTGACTTCAAAAACCTTTCTAAACCAATGAATTCATCTGCAAAATTGTTAAGAGTTTGTGGTAAATAAATATGCATATTAGAATATGCATATTATAATATTATATATCTGATTTTTTTTAAGCGATAAAAGTTTTAATGACCGTTTATTTATAGATTCTGGTATATGCGATTTTTTCAATTAACAATAATATTATTCAACGTATGTATTTAATAATTTAATCTATTAATTCTATTAATGATAATATTATTTTATAAAACCTTTTAAATACTTTGTTTTTATAGTCGATGAGGAAATAAAATAATAGACATTAAATTTAATAAATTATGAAACTTAAGGTCGAAATAAAGCTTAGTTATTAGGTTACTAAATTAGTATAAAAATTGAAAAGCTATCCGGGTATAATTTAATCTGACGCAAATTTTAATGTATATACACGTATAACAATGACTTAGAATATTTGTTTTTTTGAACCTTAATTTTGTCTATAATTTTGACTGTATCAAATTTATATGTACCTTGTATGAAATTTTGTTTATTTTGATATTGTATCTCAAAACTAAAAATTAAAATTTTTAATTCACATCTAAGTTAATTTTTTTTAGAAATAACAAAGATTTTATTTTAAGCTCAATTTACAGTTAACTAAATTTTCTGTCAAAGTTTAATAGCAAACATATAAATTTGTGATGGTTTAAGCGTCATTTTCTGAATTTGTTGATTAGGAATTGACAAGTGTTATTATTTAATCGTCATCGATTGGAAAATAACTAAGTCAATCATGCTGTATTTTATATTAAACTAAATTTATCAATAGAAAGAAAATTGCATAATATTATATTACGTATTTTATCGATAAACAAAAAAGTATATGAAAGTATATTACGATAGAATATATTACGTAATTTATTTGTAAATTAAGACTTACAATAAAATCACAAGTTGGTTAAGGTCATTCTTTGAATTATTTCTTCTATATTCTTTTATCGAATTTCTTATACATTATTCTATTGAATTTCTTCTATTTTCATATATATAATAATATTCATTCTCTTTTACATATCGTACACCGTTTAACCAGGTTGCTAAAAACCCATCACCAATCTCTTGAATATTATCTAATCTTTAAAAGGAATCCATTCGATTACCCATTGTTATAGTCTTAAGTTGAAATTCTTTAATACATTCATCAACATCCTTATTTTCACTTATTAATCCTTGCGTCGTTTTATGATACCAAGATTTAGAAGTATTATATCGATTGCAATTTGCAGTCTCTTTATTAACTAATTCTATAATACCAACATATATTCATTTGTTGTTGTGTTTTGATCAATCCATAAACATTTTCACCTTCCAATTGCATATGATTTTAAACTAAATGTAAATATGCATTAATTAAATGTTGCAGTTTAAAATGAAATTTTTCTATTTTTTTAGGAAAATTTAAAATTTTTTGGGGGACATTTTTTAGGGTTAGGGTTAGTGGTAGAGTTAGGGTTTGGAGTTAGTTTTATTAATAAAAGAGTATAAGTGGGTTTTATAAGCTTTAAAGATGAGCAAGAAAGGTCCCCAGTTTCATTTTAATCCGATTTCATTATGATCTGCCACATTTATTACTGGACCTGATTTTTGTCAAGAAAATAAACCCTCGATTTTGCCTAAGGCTAAAAAAAATTTCGTAGAGGATTTCATTTGATAAGGAATTGATAAGTAAATCGCCGCGTATGTAATCAGAAGCCACAAAATAAAAACGAATCTTTGCGACGTGTCATGTTACTAATTATATAATGTTGGCGTTCAACTATCGCATCTGATCAAGCTTGAAATTTTATCGTTATTTTTAATATAACTCAATTTTGGCAAAATATGTTCACATGTATCACATAAATCGAATATTATAGTATTAGCGTTAGATACAAGCCGAGATAACTTTAGAACCTTCTAACTCTATGAAATTTTCTTTGGTAATTCCCTATATACAATAATTCGAGTCGGCGTTTTTCTTGTCTAAAAAATTTATAGAATCATATTGAAGTATATACTATTTTTCTTTTTTGCCAAAAATTCCCATAGTTCTTGGCAATTTATCATCTAATTCGGAAAAAGAAGGCGCAATTTTATCATTTTGATCTATGTTTATACCTTGATTATAAAAATTTTGGGGGTTAAATGTTGATGTTAACCACTAATTTTCTTAGGGTAGGGTGCAATTTTATATAATATGAAATAGAGGTTTATACAGTAAAAATTTTGATATAAGATCCAAATTTTGTTACGCATAAGGTTTTCAGGGGTTCTGAACATTTTTACCCTTTACTTAATACGTTTTTGAGATCTATAACATCCCTGGTGATTTAACCAGGGAGGCAAGTTAACAATATCCATAAAATTAATAAGCTTGGATTTGGGTCAAAATCTCGACAAGTTAGCCCGCATTAGGTATAATTCCGGTCAATTTTTGTCAGGATTCTGCTCGTAGGGATTTTGACCCAAAATCTATAAGCATATATATAGTATATATTGAAAGATTGTTTCTAGGGGAATTTACAAATAAGGGCCCAAAAAGGTAAAATAATTACACATAAGGGCCCTATTTCAGAAAATTTTATTATATCTCATGATTTAGTGAATAAAATTTAATGATTTTGATACCATTCGAATCGTCTCGTCAAGACGGATCGAATGGTACTAAAATTGCTAAATTTAAGTTACTGGATAATGAGATATCACGATTTAAACAGTTTTTAGAAAATGTTGAATAGCTCGTAATCCAGTGATTTAAATTTAGCAATTTCAGTACCATTCAATCCGTCTTGACGAGGGAAATTCCTTGAGGAGACGATTCGAATGGTATCAAAACCATTAAATTTCGTTCAATCATGAGATATAAAAAAATTTTCCAAAATAGGGTCCTTATATGTAATTATTTTACTTTTTTGGGCCCTTATTTGTAAATTCCCTTAGTTTTTGCTTATAATTAGTATTGAAAGATACTAGCTCTTTAACCCTCGTAATACTTCGGAAAAAATGAATTTATTAAAAATTATAGTAGCAATTTCCAGATATATATATATATATATATATATAATAATGATATCATACGTAGGGTTCTAAAAAAATGAACCCGATCTTAATTTTATCATATTACGTATTCCGTGAGTTTTTCGTTATTCGGACTGATCCGGATCCGGAAAAAAGCAACTGTAATTAGGTTTTTTAAAAAATTTACATTTTAAAGTTTTGGTTTAAACTAATAATTATTAATTATGAAAGGCATCGTCTTTAAATTTAGTATCATTATAATCAGATCTTAGGAATTCTTAGGAATTGATATGTACAATACATGCTTTATCATCATACCCGAAGCAAAAATTGATTTGATAGAGTCACGGTGTAGCATCGAGATTCCTTTAAGGATCCTATCCATCAGAAATGGTATTTTTGCATAATAAAAATTTTATTATATATATAATTTATAACTTTTTTTAAATATAAAATATTTGTATATAAAAGGTTAACTACAGTATAATAGTTTAATCTAAGCTTTTATATATTTTTTTTAAAAAGTTCTTTTTTAAAAACAATAAAAATTTAAATAAATACTTTAATAAATTTTACATATTAAAAGTAATTATTTAATTCTATAAAATAATTTAATATTGTGTATTATACACTATTTCTTCTACTTATTCTATTTCTTCTATATCCCTCCTGCTCTTTACCTAATATATCCCGTAATTTTCCTTCTTCTTTCCATTCTTTCAATATTTCTTTTCCTGCTTTGTATCCTACTTCATATATTTCAGCAAATTTATTAAATTCTAATGTGCCATATTGTTGCACTGGTAACTGCATATAAAGACATCCGGGTATTAACTTTGCTTCTTCCAATGTTTTAACACTTGATACATATGCTAATCTCGATTGTATATCTGCCATTGTGGGTATTTTTGTCTGTCGGTTGAATGGGTTAAATCTATTAAGAATTACCCACCATCCTGAGAGCGAATCCCCATAATATACTGGAGACGTGTCTTCATGACTTGCCACATCAACTGCAATTATTGTATTAGCTCCCATACTCTTCATTACACTCACCTGTACATATAAAATATTAGATATTTTTAGCTTGTAATTAGTGTACTGTACATATGTATTATTGTTCAAATCTTACCGGTAAATTATCTAAATATCCACCATCAACTAATAAATTCCCATTATCACAAAGAGGGGGTAAAAATGATGATAATGACATTGATGCTCTAACATATCGCCACGCATAACCACTTTTATGAACTTCCATACGTGACCATGTGATGTTTGTAGTAACACAAAAATATGATAACCAAAAATCTTCGATTAATGTATCTGAAAAACATTTCCAGATACCTCTATTGAATTGATGACCTAAAATAATGTAAATCAAATGTTTATTATCATAATAATGTACATTAAATAAAATGCATATAACAAAAAAAATATATTTACCTGTAAACCACGCCGTTAACGGATATGTTAGATCAAAAACTTGTCGCCATTTACTACACATCCTTGATGAAAATGCTTTAGATCGTCCAAGGATTGACACACTATCTGATTCACGTGCATAAAGTCCACCAATAAAAGATCCGATGCTCGTACCTCCGACCATATCGACCGGAACACCAGCTTCTTCCAGCGCTTTAATAACTCCTATATGTGATATACCTCGAGCACCTCCCCCTCCTAAAACAAGACCAACTGATTTGCCACAAAGTCGTCGCGCAAGCCTAACAATTGAAATTATTATTATTATTATTATTATTATTATTATTATTATTATTATTCAAATTAAACATAAACCAAGCAATTACCAGTGTAACTCACCTTGAAAAATCACTACGAATTCCATTATGTGTTGTAGGAGACCTTTTTGTAGTGTAAAGCAAAAGTTGATCTCTAATAAAACTCTCTAACGCGTTTCTTCGTGGTCGCTTAGCCAATATTGTTGGTTTTGGCATAGTCATTTGCACATGGTGATACGCGTGAATCCATGGTCGATTCTAATTTGATGACAATTAAAAAATCGATAAAAAAAAAAAAAAAGAACGTACACAATTATGACATGAATATAAGTGATTTAATTAATCACCTTCAACCACTGACGAGTCGTTCCTGGCGCACAATGTCTTTCAGCATGCAGCAATACAAGTTCTTTACGAGCTGTGGTCTTTGTACCAATCAAGAGACTTTCATATTCTCCTATAGTTGCTTCTTCATCTCCTGAGCCAACTAAAAGAATACAATCGGCCTATCACAATTTCATCATAAAATTCAATTAATTTGAAAACGGTAAACCTAAATTAAAACGATGATATATAAAAGAATACCTGACGAATACAAGTTTGAGTCCATGATGAACTAAGACCTCCATCAGCCAAATACAACACGATTCGCGATTCTTCCTCTTGTTCAGCAAGCCAGCTAATAAGCTTCAACCTTCCCATTTGCGTAAACACATGTTTACCTAATACCGGTACTACGGAAGATTGATTTAACAATGTGGCAGTTTCACCAGATCTTACCAAAGCGGATTTCAATTTCTCTGCAAACTCGGTCACGGGAACATTTTCATTTACAGGTAAGATACAAACAGTTTTGAGATTAGTATTATTTTCACCAAATTCAGTGGCAGCATTTTTACGGTTATAATCCCGATCTTGTTGCAACCTCGTTCTTGAGGCAATAATACGAGAAATCTGTAGAGTAATTTCTGGATGACGAATAGCAAGTGCATTGAATAAAGTCTTTGGCATACGAGCAAGTTCAGTGTCACGAATAGCGTGCAATGTGTGTGGGCGAGGAGTTCCCGCTATAAAGTTAGTTAATAAAATTAGTAAACGGTTTATAGGTATGTCAAGTAATTTTCTGAAATAAACATGAAATTTTTTAAATACATACATATAACTTCGAGTTCTCCAATACTTTGACCCTGACCATATTCTCCTACAATGTCAATGACACGATTCTTTCTTTCATTTATGGCACGTACACGACCATTCAACACAATATATATTGAATCACTTTGCTCCCCTTCAGAATATAAAACCTGCCCGGCGTTGACTTGTACCCAATCAAGAGCAAAATCGATTTGAAGGACTAATAATACAAATATAAATTAATGATGAGTACATGGTTGGATTTTTTTTTTTTTTTTTTAGGAAAAAAAAAAAAAGATTCAAATTAATAATATATTATAATTCTGACCTAATGGTGATAATAGCATTATTAATCGCTTAGCCAAAGTCAAAAGTACATTTGGATTCCGTTCCATAAGACGATTCAACGAGCTTTTTGACAAATATCCTATATAAGTATCGGTACTAGCACGGATAGTAACAAAGGACGGAAATCCAGTTAAAGCTGCAAGATATCCCGCAAGACCACCAGGTTTAATCATAAATAAACTCTTATCCGTGAATTTATTTGATGAATTAGTACTAATTGATTCTTTTTTTTTATGCATTGGTTTCATGTGAATATTTTGAGTTGGAACTTCAGAAGCACCAGATCGAAAAGAACTTCCAAGAAAATTCTTATCACTAGAAGTAACTGAAACATCCAAAAGTCCATCAATAACAAAAAATAATCCAACGTTTCGCTCTCCTTCAGCGACTAGAACTGAACCTTTAGGATAAAATAATATATCAACATCATTATCTAATTCACTGGTAAAAGATGATATAGTTTCTGCAACAGATTCATCATCGGGAATGTCTAGCAAAGGATTTACAGAATGTTGATTCAAAAAATGAAAAGAATGTAAATTTGAATCCGATGAATTAGAACGAGGACCATGCTCTGATGAAGAGTTTTTATCTTTACGATTAGGTTGTATTAGACCGATTCCTTTTGAGATACCTTCTAAAACGGATTCTCGAAGATACATATCATCCTCGGTATCATAATCACGGCCACTCACGTGAGTACCGCTGATAGGTTGAACACGAGCACTTTTAGGAGTTGTCAAGTACTTGCTATTAACATAAGGTCGGATATTTTTTTTAGAATTTGGTATCATAGGAACGTCAGTACTAGATTCTACTTCACTTTCATATATAACATTTTGTCTGGGACGAGTAGACTGCCTAACCTTTTTACTTTTATTAGTTAATCCACTATCGCTCATTTCCATATCTTTGTACTTATTGTACTCATCACTCATATTATCCAAATCTTTGTACTTTTTACTACTACCAACAAATTTCATACGAAGTCGTTCCATACTTCCAGGTCTAAAAAAATCATTAGGGAGACTATATGCAGTAATTTCGTTCATTAATTTTTCAGTTCTCAAAATATCTTTTGTTAAACCCAAATATTTATATCCAGTCCAGAAAGTAACACGTTGAAAACGCGTTAAAATTACCTGAACAATATGAGCAACCGAGTTAGGAAATTTTTCTCTTAATCTATGAAAAGCCTCTACTGGAATAACAGCCAAGGTGGTATCCATAGTTGCCCTAGCAACTATATTTGGATGAACAGAAGTAGTGGTTGGAAATTCTTTTGAAAGACGTCTTAAAATCTGTGGTTTTGTAGATCTATTTGAACGTGAGGAAGGACTATCAGGAAGCGTTGAAGATCCAGGAAGAGATTGATCTTCGGAAGTATCATGATTTGAATCCTTTAAATTAGAAATATCATGAGACTGATCATTTTTAATAGATGCATTTTCCTGTTTTCCAGTATTATCATTATTAGTTGAATGATCCATCGTTTTATCATTGTAGCGAAGTTCAATATCATCAGTAAATAAAGAAAGGATGGTAAATAAACTTGATAAAGTTCCACCGTTTGTAACTTCATTTAAAAGTTGATAACCACGATTATAATCATCATCTTCAAAAGGATCTAACACTATGTCTTCTTCATTTGCAGTTTTGACGAAAACTTGAACATAACCATCTATTACAATATAGAAAGATCTTTCTTTCTCCAGCATTAAAATATCACCAGCCAATAACTTTTTCGTTTGCAAATGTCTTGAAAGTTCATGAAACACTTGTTTTTCCAAGTAACCAAAAACTTTTATGCCTTCTAAGAAAGCACTTAAAAAATCATCAGGGTAAAGAAATTGAGCTTTTTCATTGTTATCAAGATCAGGTCGAAGATGGTGAAAAGCACCCTGAGTCTGAGGAGTTTCTACGGGAAGACGCGAATATCTAGTAAGAATTTGATACCGAAAGACTAAATATCCGATTGTTATAAATAGACCAAAGAACACAAGCAAGGTAGTAAAATTAAATTGTAGAGTAAAGGATAGGGATAAAATCTTTATTATCCAAGTAGAAAGTGTAACGGTGATAAAGGAAACGAGTAAAAAGAACCATCGAAACAAAGTGGAAAAGGTGAATACGGTGATTGCATAAATTTCTCCTATACTAGTAATCGCTGTTGATTCCGTAACTTCCATTGTGGTCATTCTAAAGAATGTGCTGTGCCAACTACTCTAATCAAAGTATATCTATATCGATATGTCATTTCAAGAAGTAATTTGCGTACGTATAATGTATATATTTCATGGTGTATGACGGACTTTCGTTATGATTGGTCAATTTTTGCCGATCATTTGATCTTCATGAATCTTTGAATCTTCATGAACATGCGTATTGTTTACTGAGGCGATCCAGGGATAAGTTAACATAACCAAAAATGGTCATAACTTGAAAAAAAATTCTTTTAATAAAATCTACTGAAGCAGATTGCACTTACTGTAAAAAGATGAAATTTTAAATTCACTCACCCAAAGTTGATAAAAAATTTCAAACATAGTTACATAATTATATTTAAATTCACTATCCTTAATAATTTTTAGAGTTGGGGTGCAGTTTTAGAATAAAAGGAGTATAACATATAATGTAGATAAGATATAAGGTCCCGATTTCAGTTCTTGTGAGGTTTTCAAGAGTCCTGACCATTTCTACTTAGACTCCTTAACATTAACGTTTTTGATATAGCGAATTTCACCCCTGGTGAGCGTTAAAATCGTCCTTAGAAATATTCAATTTTCAGTTAAATCGTAATATATTGTATATAAAATTGTTACGTATACTGTATACATTATCTGTTATGTATTTTAGTTACATAACAGATAACAAAATTTTATTACATTTGTACGTAGTGATTTTTTTACATTTACTCTTGCAACTAGGTACAAATATTTCTGGTAGAGTTCCGATCCGGATAAATCCGTCAGCCCTAGAGATATGACCCGTTAATCTACGATCCGCATATTCATTCAAAATCCGTAGATTTTGTGCGATCCGTATAGTCAGTGTTGTACATTGGACAAAATTGGACATTTGGACACCTTTGGTTGGACGTCCAATCCAACGTCCAATCCAATATCCAATCGTGATTTTTGGACATTTTTCCAATTGGATTTGGATGTCCAAACCATTGGACGTCCAATGTCTAATCCAGATCATTGGACATGACAACTCTGCGTATAGTTTATGTGCAATTCGTTCAATTTGTATGCATGTTGTAGATCAACCGTTCAATCGGTTCAATCTAGTCAATCCAACCGTTCAATCTGTTGAATATGCGGGTTGATGATCCTTCTTTATACACTATTCATTTTAAACAAGGTTTGACTACAAAGAGCTGGGAGTTTAGGTGATTAAGGAACATGACCACCCAGGTGGTCAACCCGCGGGTCACCTGTGTGTCAAGTCACGGGTCATCCGCTGACAGAATTGCTAAATTGACCCGATTATGGCCTAATGATAAATATAGAAGGCATTCTAACACACAAGAATAGAAGGGCAGAGATTATACCCATATAAGAATCCGGAACATCCAAGCAGATAACTCTAATTAAGCTACATAATCTTAGTATATATTTAATTAAGGTATATATCACGTTCATAAATATATATTTACATATAATTCGTGTGGCGGCTTATGCTGAGATCTGTTCTACGTATACGTAATAAGTTATCTTAGTAAATCTTATCTTTTTTTACGTAATACGTACGTAAAAGATTATGATGTTAATTAGCAGACTTAGTAAAAATTTAAAGAATGTAATTTTATTATTTACTTTATATAAAAAAGAATTTTTTTATTAACTTATCACTAATTAATCAGTGTGAGATATTCTAAATATATAACGATAAAAATGTTTTACGCCTCCAACTTGGAAAATATAAAAAAAATAATGATTAAAAATGCCGTTACTAAATACCCCGTAAAACTATCGTAATTAATTTTGAGTCAATTTCAAATTCATTTATTATTAAGTTATTAAAATAACTATATATAACAATACTTCTTGAGGCTTGGGCAATAAAGCTGTAAACACCTAATACTGTAATATGATACGTACTAATTGTCGCATGGCTTAAAAATTCGAACTACACCCTTAGTCAACATACTGTCATCATATGTAGCCAATCATAAGGCATTTCAGTTCCAATTGACCAATCTTCTTTTTTCCTTCATATGATACTGCAAAATTGAATTCATTAAAAAAAAAAGGTCGATTTTCCAAATCTCCTTACTGAAATCAAATTGTTTTCATAATGTTTTCATAATCGGAATAATTCTGCACTAAAATGATACTTTGGCTTTTAGAGAAATAATCTGTTAAATTTAAAAACTAAATCATTTTTTTAAATTTGTATCTATTGTATAAGGAAGGATATGAGCTCTCAGGCATCAATCGTTATAGAAATAAGATTTAGTAAAAATCCGAATTTAAAAATCCTCTTTTTAAGAAAGTATATCCGTTATCCTCTTTAGGTCTGGATTTGCCAGATTTTGCACTGGAGACTTGATTGTATTTATACTTTTTTACTTTTTATCATCATGTATAGATTAGTATATACATGGATTTTATGCCTGTGTTGAGATTGATCCGAGTATGATTAAATTTTTTTCGTATTCTCTGATTGGTTATTTCCTTCTTAGGAATTTGTATTACTCGCGTAGAGTTACTTATATTCGCGAGACAGGATTTGGATCTAGATCTACTATTATCCATTTTTCTTTAACTTCGGCTTATGGAACGAGCATCAATTGAAGCTATAGTACAACTGGTAATTTGTCTTTAAATATCTATATTACCTATTTTTTTATTACTACTAAGATTTTTGAATTATTCTCTAGGGAGTAAGCGAGAGCAAAGCTATTGAAGCGTTAACGGTATGTTGAACTTTTGTCAATAGAAAAGGGAAATCAATTTTTTTTTTAATTTAAAATCGATATTAAATATTAATTAATTAAGTGCATCTTTCATTAAGTTATATAAATAATTTTTTATTATTGTTTTTATTATACCTTTTTTTTTTTCACATTTAATTCGCATTTATCTTGTACATTTCTCCCTTTTCTATTTTGACATCTAATCCATTGACTTAAAAATATCTAATTTTTTTTTTACTATAGAAATTCAATGGCGATGTGGAGCGTGCTGCAAATTTCATATATGAAAATCTGGATAATATGTTCACTGATCCTGAAGAAGTAAAAATAGCATTTATAAACTATTTGATGTAGAAAGATTGTGCACTTTCAATCAATGATATTTTCCAATCACGCTTTAGACTCCTGGATTGGCACCATTGGGCTCAGATTCACAAACTAGTAATTGGGAGGATAGAGGAGGTAATTGATTAATCTTTTTTCAAAAAAAAGTTTTAAAAAAATTTTTTTCTTAGATAAAACAAAAATGATTGTAAATTAAAATGTCAGTTATACACTTACCACATGAATATATGCTAGTTATTTAAATTGTCCTTTTGATAAATTTATATTTTCTTGTAAAGGGGGTAGCGTGTTAGGTTGTTTTGATAGAACAAATGATTCTTCCTCTCTTGAAAATGGTATGTATTATCCGAATCTTTTCAATTTATTTTGTGTATCTTTAACCTTCTGGTTCGTTTTATATAACTATTATATATATTCAATTATAATAAGATCGTGATATGAAAACAGCGATGGAAGCCTCCATGGCTGATAAAGAAAATGAAGACCTCCAAAAGGCGATAGATAGGAGTAAGACTGACAGTTACGCTGGAGCTCTCATTCCTTATAATGGTGGTGGTTATAAGGTCTGTCACGAATTTCTATAATACTTTGTATACAATGTATGGAAACTGTACCTTGTAATATGCGTTTAAACAAATATATAACAATAATAATAAATAGAATGATAATGACTCATCATATCCAAGATCATCTGATCAAAATTGGTATACTAATGATTGGGATCAACCAGCAAAAAGACAAAAGCTTGACACAACGTAAGTGCTATACTTATTTTCTTGATATTTTTTTATATCAAATAATAATAGTATATTACCTACAAATCAGTCCCCTTGGGTTGAAACCGGTGTACAATCATTATTACGCCAGTCATTTTTTTCAAGCATTGTTTCACATTCCTGTCTTTCGCTTGTCTTTGTTGGCATTTCGTCCGACTAAAGACGATTGGGGTAATGTAGAAGGTTATTGGAAGGGTCAAAAACATTATAATTATGATGATAGGTCTAAATTTTATAGTACGAATCGTCAGGAATCTTTAAAATGTAAGTATGCGGTAATGTCAATAGATTAAATATTTCTAATTTTAACTATGTGCCTTCATGTATATATTTCATCAGTCATCCACGAATTCCAAAAGCTTTTCGGTTTTTTATCGTTGAGTCAAAGAACGTATGGTGATTCAAACTTATTAATGGAAGTTTTGGATTTTGATGAAAAAATAATTTGGAATGAAGCGGAGGTCGTGTGTAGTATGTGCGCGCATCACCAACATCTCGACGTTATCTTATTAATGAGTGAATTCCATTTTAATATTTACTTTTAATGAACTTGCATATTTTTTTTTTTTGTAGATTTTACTAATAAGTTAATTAACAAACTGATGGAAGGGTCGTGCTATCGGAATACTGGAAGTCTTAATATTCCGATCAATCTTCAAAATTATATTTTAGATTTTGAAAAGTTTAGTATTCGCATAAAATGTTTTAACCATTTTTTATAAAACTTAATATTTATATCTTTATTTTTTATTTTATTAGGTTATTTAGATCAAATGCTGAAAATTTGGATCCAAAAAAATATGGAGAAGTTGCCAATTTGATATCCTTTAGTTATATCTTGAAATCCATTTTTTATTTCACTTTTTATTACTTTTATTAAATTTATTGCACTTAATTCGTTGTTACCAAACCCTCTAGAAATATATCCTAGTTGTCTTACAGTTTATGATGCGTTGGATCGCGTAATGCAAGAATCAGGAGGGAATTCGCGTAAACCCTTCTTTACACAACTAGCGCACATACTAATCATGAACTTAAAACATAAAGATAAAGATAGTAATACTTGTTATCCTAATTTTGGAGGGGAATCAACATTCCAGGTTCTTAAAGAATTATATATGGATCGTTATATGTTTGAAAATAATGAGTTTATTGAAACTTGTTGGCAAAAAATTGAAATAATGAAGAATGAACTCGAAAAAATAAACCAGAGCATTGATAAAATTATTAAATTTCAGGTTGGTCTTATCTCCATTTTACATTTACAAAGTTACAACAATTTTTTTGATTCTATTTCTTCATTAGGGAAAATATAATGGCCCAGATTTGCTCAAAGGTTCAATAGAACATTTTCAGCAAAAATGTAAAAAAGCTGAAGAAAAAGGTGCATCTGATAATAATGCACTTCAAACAAAGGCTTGGTTAGAGAATTTCTTGGACAAAGTTGAACAAAAATTGCACGGTATATTACTGATTTTATTCATCTATATTTATATTTATTTTAATTGATAATTTCATTGATAACTCTAGTTTAATTATTTTAAATCATAGCTTTGCTTGAAAAAAAGGATGAACTGGAACATAAAATTAGACAAATGTTTGATAAACCTGATATGAAAAAATATCATTATCGTCTCAAGGCCGTTTTAGTTCATAATGGACAACCTGGTCAAGGAAATTACTGGGCTTATATATGGGTTTCAAGATGCAGCAAATCAGATACTCATAATCCAAGTACAATTGATAATGGTAACTGGATGAAATTCCAAGATAATACCGTGGAAGAGGTAAAGTTTATTATTAATGATTTATTTTTTTATCATTCAAAATTTGATCAAGATGTAAATTATTTATGACATGATATTCAGGTATTGGAAGATGTGGTGCTTAATAAACCAGGAGATTTTTATTCAAGCCACAGTGTTTACACACTTTTTTATGTAAACGCAGAAGTTGATTACAATTTCACAAACCTCGAGGATGTTATTCCTGATTCTCTCAAGGTTTGCTTCCATGTTTTAACAAATTTGTAATTTATTCTTGCTTTTACAAAAAATTATTTAAATATATATATCTATTAGGCGTTTGTAGAAAAAGACAATCAAATACTTGAAGAAGAAATAGGCAATGAGTTCCGGCAAGTGGATGCAGAATTACCAGATAGCAATGCTATGGACAGCACATGGGAGTCTGATTCTACCGCTTGTGGTGGATTATCTGATTCAGAAAAGAATATTCAAGCTCGTATTGATACGATAACTGAACAAGCAAATAATGTTAAAATTTATGATGCAAAAATTTTGCAAAGGTAAATATATTTATAAATATTATTATTAATCTAGAAATTATGATTATTAAATTTTGATTTATCACTTTTTTTAGAATAGAATTCTTTTTTGTTAAGCTCGGTCAAGGTGATGCCATCAAATCGCTTATGACTGAATACTTGGATTCAAAATCCGTAAGTTATCAATCATTTTAGACGTATAGTTTTTTGTCTGTTTTTTATTCAATTTGTATTGATTGTATTGATTGATCGATATACATTAATAACCTTAATTTAACAGACTGCAGCTCTGGATTGGTCTGATCCTATTCCTTTAGTTGAAAGTTATCACCGGGATTCACGATACCTTAAAGTTATTGACGCCTTCAATGAATTTAAAGAGATATCTCAATGTATCATTGAAGGTTTAGATCAAATGATAAAAAAAGAATACATCCGCGCGCTCGGTCATTTTTATAAAGCTTTAGAACTTGAAGAATCATGGCTAAACCAGATAACGTTTAGTAGCGAATTCATGGTTAATGTAGAGTCATTACGACGAACCAATTTTATTATCTCATATGTGAAAATTTGTTTAAAGGTTTGTATCTTTACATTATTTTAATTATTAAATTATTATTAATTATTTATTGATCAATGTTATTTGTTATAAAGATTCTTAATGATAATGCTTTGGATAAGGCCAAGAGGAGTGAATTATTCGAACAGGCTATTCGAGATGCTACATTTGTCCTAAAAACGTTTACAGTTTTTGTTAAAAATTGTAGAACGGATGTTTTATTTAATGAGTTTTTACAGGAATGGACTAGTATACAATCATTAGCAGATAAAATGCATGAAAACTTGATTTCAGAATTGATCAGAGAATACATTTCAGTTATAGAAACTAATGATGGAGATGAATCAAGTCCTCTGTTTAAATATCCGGATGAAATTGTCATGGATAGTGATCCTATATTATGTGAAAGGTATGAAAGACTAACATGGAGATGTAAAGAAGTCTTTAAAAAATATAATTCACCTGATCCGAAAAGTTGAGTTCAGAGATTGCAAAAAAAAAAAACATTTGTATAGTAAATTGTAACATTGGATTGTGAAGTTAAATATGTTAACATTTATATATTTTTTCTCCTATGAACATGATTATTGATTTATTAAAAAGATGTAATTGGTTATATATTAGTTATTAAACAAAAATGTAAATTTCATTTATTAAGATGTTTATAATTGGCATATCATTGAAAATGAAAATTTTTAATTTTTACATAATACTTTATAACACTTTTATACACCCGTCCTCAAATTTATAATGCTATCAATTATTCAATCATTTAGATAGCGTATAAATGCCTTGACTTTCACTGGGACCCACGTCTTCATTCACACCATTAGACAATTTAGAAAAATTAAACATTCCGAAACTATTCGTCTTAAGATATCCATCAATAAAGCGAGTTATTGTTAAAGTAAGAACAACCCAAAAACAAACAACACATGTTGAAAAAAACGCACAAATTAATGCGATGGAAAGAACCAATCCTATTTTTGTAAAATATCGGATATGTAATAATTAGAATTAATATAGAAGTAAAATGATGTACAGAAATTACCTGCTAGACCAAGGATAAAGGACAATATCAATAATCCAAGACATAAAGCACCACCAATAATTACAGTAGTGGAGACAGTCAAAAAAACTATGTAACAAAGTATTGGAAAGGCTGAAAAAACGATAAATATAGCAAAGAAAAGCTGTTAAAAAAATAAAAATGATTTAATATAAATTTTGACAATAAAAGAATTATGAATAATAATTATTGAATTTTACCCCAAGATATGGACGTTTAACTGTGAAGGCACAATAATTTGCATATAATTTTTCCATATAAGCGAGGAACCTTATGTATAAATGTTTAAATATATAAAATGAGAATTCGCGTATGCTTTTCAAAATGCTTTTGAATTACCTTTCTGCATTCTGTTTGAAGCTTTCAGCCAAATTTTCATTAAATAGAATTCGATGCAATTCAAAATCTGCACTCATTTTTTTTCTTTTGTTTTCGTTGTATTATTAAAAGATGTTGAAACTACAATGGTGTTATAACTCTTCGAATTTTAAAAATGTCTTGTGTTTATTGTAGATTGATAAGATAATTACGATTCGGATATTCTTGTTGTACAAACTTCCAAGACGGTTTTTTTTTATTTATTTTCTTTAATGGAAGGCAGGTGTTTTTAGACGGTTTGGGTTTTAAAGAAAACAAAGACGCGACTTTTTTCTGATTTATTCGCAATCATTATTATTCTATTATACGTATTTTAATTATACGTATAATAAAATAATAATGATAAAATTATGTATATATATACTGTAGTATATTTTTAATTTCAGAAAATTACGTATTATTGCGTCGCATGCGTGCGTACATACATACGTATGTATAAAAAACTTAATTCATAACCAATCGTAACACTTTTTACTGTTATCGTATTTTTTAAGAGTACGTAGAATGAAGTGTTAGGTACGACATACGCATGTATATTCGTAGTTGAACTACGTACGTACGTACGTACGGTCTTCTGTTTTAAAATGTTTTTAGTGCTGTATACAAAAAGCAAATTATACTTTTCATGAAAAGTTTAGTAGTAAGATTGCTCTATACAATAAACAAAAGCCATTTGTCGACCACTTTTAAAGCTCAATTGTCATGAGAATCATTAACTTTGTTTAGCTTTTATGAATTTAAACATAGGTTAGGAATGGGCGTTGTGATAAGAAACATTGTAACCTAATGATTAGAATAGTTCGTCTCAAATGTTCAAATGTCGATATTACAATAATAAATCATTTAATTTCGTCACAACACCCGCATTTATCACATCCTCTTCATCTAATAATACGTATGTATGTATCGGTGTGTTACAAATATAGCGTGCGTTATATATATACTATACAATTGATTTAAAGATAAAGTATACTGTAATATATATATATTTTATATATATTTATTTATCATCATCTAGGTGAATCAGGGCACAAAATTTCCGGGTGATGTAACCTGCTTTTTTTTGCTTTTTTGCCGGCAATCTTTTTAATCGGAGGTTACTGCTATTTTCATAATTTCTGGAACACCTGATAAAAAGTGACCGAACGATGTTCGGGCCGATCCGATTGTTTATAATAGATTAAATAATAAAGATAAAAAATTTTATTGCCGCACATCATTGAAAATAAAAAAATTATAATCATTTTTATCGATATTAGGTCCTGGATCATTATAATCTGGTCTTGGTCTTATTAAAGACAGATCCATCACTATAAATTAGTTACGATTAGTTGTTACATATTTTTAATAATATTTATTATATTGTAATTACTTATATTATCACTAATTTAATATTTATTAAGTAGACGATCATATTTAACTCAGAAGAGCACAGAATTGTTAGCGTACTCAACTCAGAAAAATACAAAATTATTAGCGTACTCAACTCTTCAACTTGTGTAGATCTATTGTAAATCAGATAACCCAGCAAGATTAGCCAACCAGACCTACAGCAAAATTTTCAATGGTGCAAATCATCAAATCTGCGCCACTTAAATAATTTGAGGGTTATCATTTGCACCATACGTATGTATTAAAATTTCTAAGTTTGTTACAAAAAGTACAAATACGCATGCAGACAAGAAACAAAAATTTTCTAAATTTACTCTTTTGATGCAATAACATAAGCCAACTAATGAATTAATCAAAAACATAACTATTTATGTAACTTTTGTATCACTTTGATTAAGCATTTAAATATTTCCTCCGTTACACTCTGGAAAATTAATGTACTTAATTAGTTTTTTTTTTTTTGCTTAAAATAAATGGACTCTAAACAACTTCGCACACTTGGTTACAAACATCAACACGGTATTGGTGTTAAAAAAGATGAAAAGAAAGCTTTTGAATATTATATGAGAGCAGCTGAGTTAGGAAACGTAACAGCGATGAATGATGTTGGCCTTTGTTATCATAATGGAATTGGAGTAGAAATAAATTACCAAAAATCATTTGAATATTTTAAGAAATCCGCTGATTTAGGTAATTCTCATGGAATGTGTAGTGTTGGGTTTTATTATGATAATGGAATCAGGGTTGATCAAGGTTTTAATAAAGCATCTGAATACTATAAAAGAGCTGTTAATATGGGTAATACAGGAGCAGCAGGTAATCTAGCTCGATATTATCGAAATGGTATCGGTACAAAAAAAGATATTCAAAGTGCAAATTATTGGTTTACAAAATATAGAAG